GAAGAAAGTTAAATAATTTCTGATTACTTATTGTTCAAATTCAATGAAATCCTGCCCACCCTGACATGTAGCTTTGTAAATATTTTTCTGTATTAAAGATCTTGAAATTCATATGGCAAATATTGGTAAAGCCAGGAGAGATTGGGTAGCAAGTAAGCAGGTTTTCAGGGTTTCGAAAGCTTCTTCCAAAATCCAAAATCTAAGGCTAGTCTTACAGATGTGTAGAACTTATCGGTAGCTTGAGGTAAATGCAAATTAACCTACCTGTAATAGATCAGCATACACATTCAGAAGATTTGTTTATTGATTTACAGTGGTAACTATAACTGAACCAGTCTTGTGTGCTCTGGCCTGAGCATTCTCTTCCAACAGGCAAACTGCTAGGAATTATAAGTTTTTCTTGAGGAATGTGGATGCAGAGCAGAGAGGTGGTTGTGCTGACAGTTGAATGTTCTGAGATTGCTGGTATGACCATGAATACAGTAGGAATATTCCCATTGTCACAGGGCAGGTTCACTTCTAGAGCTTGGACATAATCTCCTGGGAACAGTTCTCAGATGGGCACAAGTGGTTGCCCACCTAGATTCACTTAACTGCTGTACATCATTTTTAGATCCACACATTCTTTCATTGGCTGATTTGACAAGTTTTGGTTATATTCTAGTCAACTCTCAAAGACCTAGAAACCTTCTCTTTAGTGACATTGCACAGTCTCTGCCTTCATCATTTAAATCTTGATTTTAAAGCTAAAGTCTCAGAAGACAATCAGAATCTTATTTCCAMAATTACCATAGGATACCACATTTTCGTTCTCTCCTGTGTTCCCTGTCCCACCTCCTATATCTTAAATGGTCATCAATTAAGGAAATAGAGACTCTTCAGAGTAGTTACCTTCATTTATAGTTTTTGTGATGTGTGATTCTTTTAGTCTAAAAGCAAAATGTTATTTTGTCCCCAAGAGCTTATTAACAGAAGGCAAGTTTTAATTTATAATGAGCARTAGATGCTGAGAATCCGTTGGGCTATTTAGCTATCTGAATTAATACAATTCATTTCATTTGTAATGAGGAATTAGTTAAAGCCAAATACATTCACATCATTCATAAAAAGTGAATGTCTGAGCAAATACTCAAGAAATATGATCAATGATGACAATAAATATAAATAATTCCTGTTCATAAGACATTTTCTCTAAAACTTCATGAGTCCCATATCACCCACATAATTTTTTGCTTTTATAGATATGACCTAAAATATAGTCTATCCAGATTTCTCTAAATGTTTATTATTTATAAATCTCAATTAGGAAAAGGATAAGCATTCCTAATACTTAAGTCACGAGACTTATTTAAAAGTATGATTTTGGGGGGATACAGCTGTAAATAAGGTGTATTTATTCTGCATATTGCTGTACCTATTTTATTTCAAACACATCAGTGCTTGAAGTTTAAAATTAAATGTGCTTTCCCTGAAGATTAATATTATCTTTTTTTTTATCTTCATCAAATAGAAGTAAATTGCTTGATTCAATAGAATCCAGTCCCATCTCAGTGGCTCTCTTTGTTGTTTTTCAGAAATGAGAGAAATTGAAAGTTGAAAACGCATTCATCATCAGGAGAATTTGTTTTAAAAGCATCCACTCTCCCATACAGCCAGCAGATAAATTACCTGCTCTTCAAGAGAGCATAATTAGTTTTACATTATACTAAACAAATCAGCTCCTTAAGTGGTTGTCTCCCTTGAGAAAAAGGCAGCAAAAATGTCATAGTTTGTCTTCTTTCTCCCCGGCCTTTAGAAGTCTTTTCTCAGGCTGCAAGTTTGATGAAAGCTCCATGAATATATTTTACGACTGTTTTTCAGTAAGGAAAATTATATGCTTGACTTGTATCCATATGGTTAATAATACCTACTTCACAATGCAAAGTTAATGAAGCTTTTTGTTTTATACCAATGACAAGCAGAAGCTTTATGGCAAGAAGAAAGACTTCAATTACTTTCAAACCCACCTTTCTTCTTCCCACAATAATTATTTTTATATAATCCTTTACAGTTAAGGAGCAAAATAAGGGGGAAATGTACTAAGGATGATGGAAGATGCACAAAAAATCTGTAGGCTGTTTTTTGTTCCCCTTAATCAAACAGTTGCTTAACTACCAATGCCTCTTTTGAGATGCACGGGATGATGTAAGAACACACTAAATTAATGTTACCTGCCAAGACCTGCAGAAACACAAAGATTAGTCAACACAGCTACGGCACCACTTTTAGCATTTTCCACTCATAATAAGAAAGTGATCAATGGAGACTTTGGAGGAAAGAGTGCAATTGCAATCATATAAATAATCTTGGTTCTTTCCTACACACAGGGGTTTTAAATCAAAAACTCAAAAACTGCTATGCCTCAGTTTCACATAGCAGCATTAGCCTAGAGGTTAACTTAATTTTATTTCTTTTTCATTTTTACATTGATAATTGATCATTTTTGGTATGTGCCTRCAGGTTATATATGAAACTTCCTTTATACCACACAAAAGAGCAGCATGCCTATACCAAATTTTGTGCTTTAAAGACTAATGGATTTGTTTCCCATGTGTACAAACACAGCCTAGAATTACATGAAGAACATGTGTGAGTGATGTTTTCATTTTTTAAAATGCATCTATGTGTAATCACTATATAGTATATATTGGGTAAGGAGGGAGAAGGGAGATAAAAGGGGAAAAGGAGTGAGGGAGAGAAACAGAGAAAGAGAGTCAAAATATCAAAATATATTTGTTTCTTACTCTTAGAAGTTTTGGGATATAATTCATTTCATGTTTTTTTAATTGTAGAAAAAAAATACTCTGAAGGAAAGGTGTCTTGTCAATTTTAAGTTAAGTGTGATTTATTAAGGCATTTATTATTAGTATTATATTTATATTTATAAATACAGCAAGTTATACAAACTACTTCTGAGAGTCCTTTGAATAATGACTAGCCCAGACTAGTTAATTAAATGCAGTCAAACATTGTAAATGGCATTTGTAAATTCAATACACCTGATAACTTATTTTTTTTTAAGAGAGAGAGAATTTTTAATATTTATTTTTTAGTTCTCGGCAGACACAACATCTTTGTTTGTATGTGGGCTGAGGATCGAACCCGGGCCACACGCATGCCAGGCAAGCACGCTACTGCTTGAGCCACATCCCCAGCCCCACATGATAACTTCTTGAAAAGTACTTTATTTGTGTGGTTTAACAAATAGTCTGAGAGTGAAAATTTTCTTAAAATCTAATGAATCAAATGTATCATTATGATGGCCAAAAGTTTTCTTATTCCAATATTATGCAGAAGCAGAGTAAGATTTCAAGTCATAAAACTGAAATCCTATTCTAGATCAATTTTTCAGTGTATGTTCTAAACTGAAATCACAAGACTTACTCAAGTAAGCTAAATTCTCTTAAATAACATAAGCACTCAAGTTACCAAATGGGCACAGGTTTTCTCCTTAACAAAAAATACTGGTACTAGGATTTCTATTGTCATAAACATTTTATATTTAATTTGAACCCTTCTAGAATGAAAAGGTGTGTACTCACTGAGGACAACATTCCAGTTAACTGAAATTATTGAGATGAAATTATTACCATCTAGGTTCACTGAGCTTTTTTCCACCAGAAATCTTGGCCAGACCTGAGAACTGAACCTGCAGACATTCATAGCAATTCTCATCACTCAATAGCAATGCTCAGTCTTTTTCAGAATCTATTAATGGGCTTCCAAAACCTCTGTCTACTCACAGTAGATAGTAACTCCCATTCAGATAATTGCCTTGGTTTGCATGTATTTGTCTCTTAAGACATGCATTGGGGTTRGAGATGTGGCTCAAGCGGTAGYGCACTCGCCTGGCATGTGTGCGGCCCAGGTTCAATCCTCAGCACCACATACAAACAAAGATGTTGTGTCCGCCGAAAACTAAAAAAAAAATAAAATAAAATAAATAAATATTGAAACTCACTAAAGACATGCATAAACTTTTCCATTTAACTGCAAATTGAAATTGATGGGATGACAACAGGTGCAATCATATTTTCTACCAAAGTCTTTATACTTTGCCTTTTCCCATTAATTGAATTTTGCATCATTTTCATTTTCAATTTCTCAATTCAGTTCTTCAACCAATTAGATTTGAGGTTTTATTTGATGTTTTTGACTCACAGTTACACCATGAAATTTATCTTCCACAGTCTTTCCTGTTTCTGGCCTTCTTCTTTTGCAAGTCAGATAGTGTAACTCAGATCAGAGACCTGAAGACCCCAGGTACAAAAACGCTTAAATGCGCCCTGTTGSGGAAAGTATGCTACAGTCACTCTTGTTAAGGACAACAAAGATTCATGGGCAAATCAAATCCTTTCTTGAGCCTGGAACTTCAAGAGGTTCTGCTCTTACATAAGAGCTCAAGCTGAAAAACAATTGCTAATCTCAGGCAACAAATTGGATGGATTGAAAAAGTAATTATTGCTATAAAAATAAATAAATTTAAGATTGCCTTGAACAATCAATCTAAGAATCTGTCATCAAAAATATTCATCCAATGGTGGAATCAGATAAACATCATTACCCTAGGTTCATGTACAACTGCACATAATGGTGTGACTCTACATTGTGTACAACCAAAGAAATGAAAAGTTGTGCTACATTTTTGTATAATGWATCAAAATGCATTCTGCTGTCAAATTTAAAAAWTTTTTTTAAAAATCACCCTAGGGCTGGGGTTGTGGTTCAGCATTGTACCAGGCACTGGGTTTGATTCTCAAGACCACATTAAAAATAAATAAAATAAAGTTATTGTGGCCATCTACAACTAATCAAAATAGAAAAAATATTCATCCTAAGGATCTAACTATTTCTTTATCCTTCTYTTGATTAAGCCTAAAATCTAACTTACATCTTCTCATGCTAATAACAATGAAACACAAATCCCTGTGTTTTAAAAAACTTTTTTTTTCTTTTCTCAGTTTCTACAGATAAAGTGATCTGAAATAATATATGATGACACAAAAACAGAAAAGAGAAACTGTGACAACCCCCAGAAATGTGAAAGAAGGTTTCCTACTGGATTGCAGCATCTTTGGTTCGATTTGTATAAAAACCCAAATAAATAAGATGGACAGTATTGTTCAATTTTAGAAATTCCATTTCTTCTATGTTCTAAGCTGTATAATTGTCAGGTTTTTATGGTTTAAATTGTAAATGTGTTTCCCTCTTGCTAATTATGGTTTTTTTTTAAGTCTTAAACTGTGAAGGACATTTATGAATGGTAAGAGAGACACTGTATACAAATGTATATTTGTAAAAGCTATTTTTATGATTAGCATGTCTCATTGTTGACCATATATAGAGTCAGGTGGTATGGCAATTCTACATTTAAAGCTTATTTACAATAGCATCATGTAAGAAAAGATACATTGTATGCTAGTTTTTATAATTTATTTTTAATTTATAGTTTAAAGTACTTCAGATCATAAGGATAAAATACTTGAAAAAGTTATATTTCTGCCCTCTATAAGCACCATTTTTATTAATAAAGAATGCAGTTATTTCAGATGTGAGACAACAGTTAACTGCTGGTTTGACCTGTGACTAAATTGAGCATGCTTCGCTCTACTGAACTGAAATGATCCAGTTATTACCTAATATTTCAGTCTAGGCATGAGATTCCATGGACAGGTTTAAATGTTCACACAGGTGAGAACTAGATTGACAAAGAAAAGATTGTCTTGTCTTYGGATCCAAAAATCTCAATTAGTTCATACATCACTTCACTTCATCTCCTGTTCCTAGGAATTCTTCGTTCCCAAGCATTGCAAGTGTTTTCCAAATACTCTTAGCTATTGTCTTGTGCTGTGGAAATGGAATAAACCATCTTCACAGACTGTAGAATCCAGCATATAATTTCTTAATAAATACTCTTTCTTTTAAAACAAAGTTGGTGTGTGTCTTTCCTTTGGGGTGTACTTAGTTTTAATCTTCAGTGTGAACTTTTTTTTCAGTCATTGCAAGGACACAAAACTAGCCCAATAATGAAAGTCTTTATTGAAGTGTGTATTAGATGTTCTATATGACCACACTCTTCATTAAGTGACCTGTATTCTGAAACACATTAATTTGCCATGTCAAAGAAATCCAGTTGGCCTCAGACCTTGACAGAGGTCACACTCTCATTCACATTTCAAGAAGGAATATTTTTCCTCTAAATACAGAATTTTAAGAAGCTATTTCAGGATAGAAAGCAAATCAACCTTATCTGGAAGCATTTGTGCTCTGCCAGATTAAAATTCTGTATCTAAATTACTGCACAATCTATATTAAAGAGCAGGGAGACAATATGTGTCACCAAAATCACTAGGGGAGAGGAAGTTCTTTTTTCAAAGAAACTAAGGAGATTCTAAAATCACCTTGGTATGTATTTCCTTAGTTTTCTGTATAATTTCTTCAAGGTAATTTATCCTCTTTCTCTGTCTTTCAAATATAAACTAATGAAAAAATTATATAATTTCATTGGATAAAGGATATCAAAACCAAAATTCTGAAGAAATTAAAAAGAAGTACAAGGCCTGYTATTAAAGAAAATATGCTACATATTCTTATTTAATGTCTTTTAGAAATTTTTACCATAGAACCTAAGACCCAGATAAGGAATGTATTTCCCTTTTAAGGAGATGTGAAAACCATAAGGTTAAACCTTGYTCACCCCCTTTGCTGGTCATAATAGGAATAGGAGAATTTGTGACTTTCCATGATTGGATTCAGAAACTGAATGTGGTTCCATATGGGATGAAATCAACACAATGATTATTTGGTTTGCTACCAAGTAGGAGAATTTGTTGAGAATAATCTGGTGCTCCAGAGAGAGTCTCTTATAGGCAGTGTGTGTCAAGAAATTACATATGCGAATGTTTTTCCCAATTTTCCATTTGTTTTTCCTTGTATTWTTCAATAAATAGTGTGATATTATCTAACACTATCATAAATTATTAAAAGTATCATAATTTCCCTGGTGGTCATTAACAATTCTTAAAATAAGATTAATAATTAAAATTTATAAAATGAATGCTTTGTTATTGAATCTGATTTTTCTCCCCACAGGCTCTGAGATATAACATCAGTCTTTCTCTTGTTTCATTGCCCATTCCTACTTTAAGAATTTCTTTTGATGACAAAGATAGAATAAAATACACATCAGGTCAACAAAGTATAGATGACTTGAAATTGTAATCCCTGCAGGTTTACTTTAACAACTTCAAAGAAAACTTACAAGAGCCAAGGCTAAGAAGAGGGGAATATGAACTTTTTCCAAATAACGTCAAGCTCATTTAAAAAAAAGCTAACAGAAAGAAATGGGGGCAAATGAGGACATACTTGCTATGTTCAGTTCAAAGAAAATTAGTCCCTGCTTGAAATTAGGTAAACTGGTCACTGGTGGTTACAAGCATGGGGAAATTACAAATTTTGTGTTCTTGTTCAACCAAAGAATAATTGGCAAAACATAAGTACACAACAGAATAAGAGGCAAATAAAACAGAAGATAGGCCTGGAATGAACTATTTTAAATGAGTTAAAGTTCAAAAAGCAAGATGCATACCTATTAAGAAATAAAGATGAAACAGGCCTGAAGTAAGTTAGCAGTCATTAACTGAAACTCAAGTGTTGAAGAGAAGGTCATCTGTCAGTGTCAGCTGGCCACAAGATTCAGAAATGCAGATCTGGAATTTCTGATTTTCCAAGAGAAGGTAGACTGAGTTCTAAATGAGATACTGTGTTTTGTTTCTTCAGTTTTATTCAAATGTAAATCTGAAACTGAATTAAGGCAGGTATGTGATTTACATCTAGGATATAACAGTTGTAAAACTTTAAATAATTAACTCACAAGCATGAGAAACAAGAAAAGTCAGGATTATCCCTGATGGAAAAAATAAGAAAGAATAGACTCTAGAAAAACAAAAGTAACTCAACATTGTCATATTTATTAGGAAAATTATTTGAATCAAATRTGGCAAAACGTTTCATAAAGGTTACAATAAGCCATACTGATATTTGTGATATTTTTCTGTGTTTCATGGGCTTAAGATACTTCCTAATAATAAAAGTCTATGATGCATCTCTCAATATTACAGAAATAGAAATAGATGTACGTTCTGATGACATGAAGACATGARTGATAGAAATAATACAGATAAAGATGGTGATTTGGATCTTTGGATTCCTCAATGGTCTAAAGTTTTTATCCATCTTTTCCAGCTATGTTCAGATTATTGGGAAAGAATATAAACTGAAGAAAGAGAGATGCAGTACCTAGTATTCAATACCATTCTTGAAAAAATAAGGAATCTGCAAATGAATTTATTATTTTGTGGTTGAAATAATTTCCTCTTGGTACTTGAGAGATTTGAAAACTGTCTAGGAGTTGAAATATTGTGTATGCAAGAACTTCAACTGCCTAAGCATGAAAAAGGATCTTTATCTTTACACTCTATTAAATGGAGCTTGTACATCACAGGTAATTTCTCCACAGTGGAGGGCATTAAATAAGATAGACTTATGTTTGGAATTTTTACCCAAACATTATAAACATTATTTTAAAAATAACAAAAATTTTACTTCGCTGAACAACTACTATGCACTGGGCACTTTGCTAATTATTTTGTATGTATTGTCACCAGTACTCAGAGGAAATTTGTTGGGTAGATTTTATACTCAGTTTATAGTTAAAGCATATCCTTTGTTCACTCATCAATTCTTAATTGAGAATCAACTCTACTCCAAGCACTGTTCTTTACAACCGAGGTCCAGCTATAAATTATAAATGATGAAATTCCCTGGAAAAGCTTGTTCTCTTATGAAGGACAACATCTGACAGGGCTTTAAAAAAAGCAAATATGTAGTACTGAAGATTATAATGACAATAAAAACCTAGAAGAAAACAAGACCATGAAGGAAAAGAGGGAATAACTGGGCTTTAAATGGATGCTTTA